CAAAGACTACGACGACGACTGCTACCACTACTAATGCTACTAAAGATAATAGTGATAATACTAGTACAAATAGTAATAATACTAATACGAATACTAATACCGATACGAATACTAATACGAATACTAATCCCCATACTAATACCAATAGTAATACGAATACTAATGGTAATACAAATACATACTAGAAGCTAATACTAATACTAATGTTACTAATGCGAATACTACTACTAGTAATCATAATAATACTAATGACCTAAATCCTGGAAACCAGAACCTGAATCCTTACCTGTGAATCCTAGACCCAAAGCCGTTAATCCTAAACTTTAAACCTTGAATCCGAGAACCCAAGCCCTACGCCCTAAGCTTTAAAGCAATCCAAGAAACAGGGTACCACAGACACCGCAGATGATGCCAGCCACCTCGAGTCCCTGGCCCGTTGAGGGTTCAGGGCTTGGTGTTCATAGGGATTGGGGTTTAGGGAATAAACTTTATTGCTTTTTTATTTATTTTTTCGGGTGTCGGGTCTTAAGGCCCTTGGGGTTGTGGGCTCGGGTTTAGGGTTTAGAGCTTTGGGCTTTGAATTGAGGGTTTGGGGCGTCGAGTCCTGGTAGAAGCCAGCTCCGCAGCCCTGGAGCAGGAGGCTGCAAACCAGCAGCATCGTTGCTGCGGCACCCTGAGCGCGCGTCATGGCCCGCGGCGATCGGAGCCGGAACAGTGAGTAGTGAGTATAGAAAAGTAGAGCAGAGCCTGGCAATATATGGTAGAGCAAGGCAGGGCATAATATAGCATAGTATAGACGAAATTCAGAAGCCTTTTCGAGCCTGTTTTGAGGCGGAGAGCATTGCTCAGCTGCGATTGGCAAGCATTGGATTGGGCCTTGGAGCGGGTCCTGCAATCTGAAATATGAGAAGCGGCAAGCCCGCACAAGGACGAAACCTACGGACCCCACCCCACACTCGAAACTGTACGAAACCCCAACGCCCCAAAAACCGACCCCAGCCCAGGCCGAAACATTTCGATGGCCGAGGGATGCAGCTCTCCTTTCTGTTGAGCAGCATTAAAGCCTCCACAAGTCTACAACCCTAAGGGTCCATGTACCCAATAATTAGGTACTTGGGTTTTGGGTAATAGTAAGTATAGTACTGGTTTTGGGTAAGTATATGGTTATTAAGTACTTGGACCCTTAGGGTAAGTGAAGAAACTCCGCGCTGGCAGTCAAGAAGTAATTCGGCAGTCAATCACGCGCGTCTCGTAATGAAGGACTTGAGCATGCATGTTTTTACCCGATGTTTCAGGGAAGGCTGCGGTAACGTATGCCTTGAGTCGCAACTGTGTGAACTCTAGTGTGCATTTGACCTGCATGCTGTCAAGCACACATGTTAGACGTAACCCTCACAAATGCTCAGCATGTTTGGGGGAAGTCACGACAGCTGTTTGTGTGGAAACTGTCCAATTCGAAAGCCGAACGGGTTACGACATAGATCTTCTGTCTAGCAGCTAGCAGCCTAAGGTTCAGGATTTAGGTATTTCCATTACCTGGGACTCCAATATAGAACCCAAGATACGCATTATAATCCCTGCGTCCGAAACGGAACCTCTAATTCTCAGGAACCACTGGTTGAAGTGGGCCTAAAGGTTTGAAGGAAGCTTCTGACAGCGTTCCGGAAGCATTTTCTAGACATGTCTGCATGAGAGGGAATCGCTGACATTGAATCAATCGATCATCTTCCGGTTTAGTGGTTTGGTCCACGCCAGAAGGGTTTCATGATTGGGACGATGTGAAGAGGGCAATCTTGAATGTGGCCCGGCAGATGTTCCTAGAGAAAAGGATGATCGCCATCGGACACCCTCGCAATATATGCCCTGGTTCCAGACCAACCGGTGTAGGTCGAGATTTAGCATCTGAATCAAGGTTTGTTGACATCACAATCCCCGCTTGGGGCAGCCTTGCAAGATCGATGTCAAAATCCGCTCAGGTCAGTCAGCCCACTGCTCCGTACCCGAATCTACTCTACACATCCTGACTGCATCCTGGGTGCGAATACGTCCTAGGCCCATACATCTGAATGCACCCGAACTTGTTTCAGGCCCAGAACCCACACCTTCAGCAACACCTCGAAGACGTCGCCGTCAGCCATGTCCCAACCTGGGTCGTAGATGCGGTTCCAGCAGTAGCAGTTGCCCTAGCGCAAGCAGTGGCAGTGGCAATGACAATTTAGCGGCAGCGGTAGCAGCGAAATAATTGCCATAGTAGGTGTTGTCGTAGTAAATGCATCTTGCCATTGTTATTATCAGGTGCGGTACAAGCTGTACTGATGGCAGTAGAAGTTGCAGTGATGGTGTCAAATGAGGGGCAAACCACTGAGTAGGCAAAAAATACGAAAACAAAATGAGCCTGATGCTAAGCAAACATATGTTTATGCCCGAACGTGTGGACTCAGCTTAGACACAAACATTGACCTGAGCACCACCTTGTTGAAACCAATGAGGTAACAAAGGCCCTACAACCTAAAGCAATCTCCAAGCACCATACCATCGATCGCGGTCTATCAGCTGTCGAAGAACAACCAAAGCCATTTTCTAACACTCAATGAAGGACCACAACTTTTCCGAATCCTTATGCCTGAAGTCATCCATCACCCCAGAACTGCTATAGGCCCAGGAAAGGACCCGGAATTCGCAGAAAGTCTCTCAGCCCATGTAAGCTTACATCAATTTTCCCCTGAAATTAACTCCTCCTTCTACACCCCTAAATTACTGCTATGACTCTCAAGTGAATCTCCCCCAGCACACTTCGATAGCTCCACGAACCCTTCGCTCTATGACGCAGATGCGTACGCAGCACTCGTATGGTGGTTACAAAAAATGGGTCCTTTTGTAGGAGGGTCCAGCGGGGCTACTAGCTACACGTCCTTCAAAGGAGATCCTAACCATAAAGAAGACCTACCCTATTGCCGTTTTGAAGACAAGTATTTCGAACAAGCATCATATCGACCCCCATGTCCACCCACATCGCCGACTACAATTCCTCAAATTGCCCTGCCTGCATTTCTCCAAGTAAGGTCTCTCGGTATCCTTCCCCATTACACAGACTCAGGAAAAAGGCAAAAATCGGTAGTGTTCATACAAATGGGGGGCTCCCCAATGCAACCCTAAATGCCATCGTCAACCTTATAGACCTTCTTACGCTTCCTCTAGGGAAACCCCATTCCCCACGAACCACTGCGTAATCCACTGTCTACTTCATCTTCCATGTTCCTGCTGTTGCATATCAATCATTGAAGGATTATTCCCTTTGTTAGGAAGGTCCTATTAATCCTAAACCCTATCCCTGGGGCTCCATGTCTATAAATAATACCTACATTGGGCCCCAATGTCTATAAATAGTACCTACATTGGGCTATTTGGAGCCCTAGGGTATTTACATGTCCAATGAGCCGTAGTAACGACCGGGCTCTCGTCCCAGCAGTCAGGCATGGCACAGCGCACAGTGAGTTTTGAGTGGCAGTTTCTGACGGTATTCCAGATTTCGCGTTTATGGTATATGGTGCGGGTTAAGGGTATATGGTTAGGTTTAGGGTTTAGGGTTCAAGTTTGAGGGTAACTTGCGGGCAGTATGGTCACAACCTCATGTCCACTCTTCCTTCAGTCACTGCTTACCAGCAGCCATTTTACGGCTTTACAATACTTCGATACTTACAGGCAAGGGTGTAAGCAACACTCTTCAGTATTTCAAGCCTACTGTCCAAAAAGGTCTACCCAGACTGCCACAGTGCAAAGTCATGTTGCAAAGGTCCTTTCGTGATGGTGTTAGGGCAAAGATTTTGGGTCATCGCCGTTCCTCTTAAGTTTGAGGTTACCAGAGCTGCAAGCCCGCAGAGAGCCATTTTGAAGGCATTGCACACAAACAAATCATGTTGAGCACTCATCCTCTCCAGTGGGTCTTGAGAGCAACAAGGAGACGGAGGTGCTGCAGCATGATCAGGCACATCATTGCAAAACTCACATTCAAGGGTTGCGGGAGATCTCGAGAGATCTGTCAAAGCGGTTATGAAGAATTTGCCTCCAAGGTCTTTTAGACCGAGCTCGCGAGATCCCAGCAAGAGAAAAACTGTAACAGCGTGCACTGAGGAAAAAAACTTTTGCGGCTCCACTTCAGCGCAGGTCCGACCTATCAAAAGGCCCCAAAAATTGGTGTCCCAAACCCTTCATACATGTAAAAGTAAAAGGATTGAATCACAACGTCTCATGTTGGTGCCACGTCAGAAGCTCTTGCCTAAGCTGCCAACGTGCGGCTTTGGAGATGCAGGCTTTAAATTTCAGATACAAGTCACTGCTTACGTTGAAAGGCTCTGCTACATCTTGTCTCCCGCAAAAGTTTTGCCCGGACCTCCCAGCAAACAACCCCAATCATAGACTTCTGGCAAATCAGATCCACTTTTAAACCTTGGTTAGTACTTCTTGCTCTGACGGGCAGTAAGCCGCAGATACCAGAACTCACTGGCGATATGACCTGGAGTACTCCAGGAGGTTCCAACTCTTGCTTAACGCTAGGGCTCCAGTTACCTAAATAATGGGTTCTGGGTTCTATATATCCTATAGTTACACACCAGTAACCTACTGGTGGGTAACTGGGAGCCCTAGGGTAAGGCAAGGCTTAGCTTGGGATTTTCGCAGTAGGGCCTACCCCCGAATATGATGATCCTTTTTACGGCAACCACCAAAAAATCCGCTCCTAATTTTTGGAGACCCCAACTCTATATACAACTATGTAATCCATGTTTCCATGTCATGTTATATTTTCCTTCCCAGGTACTATATCCCTAAACACTACGCTCTGTAACCTTATTGGGGTAAGATCCCTTAACCCCAAAGCCCAACGCTTTAGGCCCGAAACCCGCAACCCTAAACATTGCACCATAAACCCTGAACCCAAAGCCCTAAACCCTAAACCCTACTTGAGGCATAAACCTTCTAAACCCTTACGCTGGCCCAGCCGCAAGCTGCCCGGCTCGAGGGCATGCTTCCTGGGCTCTTTTCGCATCTGCTTCCCCACAGCCCTCTACGTACTGTCTACCTAAACCCCAAAAGTATATAAAATAATAGCCCTAAACCCCCAATAATAGCCATAAAGGCCATTATCTTACATACTTTTGGGGTCCAGGTAGGGGTTTAGGAGTCTTAGGATTGAGGCTTTGGGGTTTAAGGTTTCGGATTTAGGGCCTAAGCTTTGGATTGTAGGGAAGGCGGAGTTGGGGAGTTATCTTCCTGGGACCTCCTCGGGGGTTCCCTACACCGTCTGTTAGAACCTCGTATTAGGTCCAACAACCCTAAACCCTACGTAAATCCTAAGCCCTAAATCCGAAACCTTAAGCCCCCAACCCTCAATCCTAAAACCTAAACCCTAAACACTGAACCCTAAGCCCTACTCGGGGCTACTTGGGGCTTCAGAAATTATGACTCTGATCAGCTGCTGGGGACCACGGACATGAAATGTCCAAAAAAGCCTCCTAGCAGTGTGTTGCTGTTAAGGAACTTAAATCAACTTACCATAAGATGGGTATGTCGTAAACAAACAATGGGGTCTCCTGATCATATTAATTTATGTGCCTTAACAGCAACCTAGTAATTTGGTCAAGCTTCCCCAAGCTGTTCCAGATTTTTTCAGGGTTGCAAAGCACACGCAGTCGTCTCTTCAACTCATCTCGGTCCCGATTTGGCAGGGTGTCTTTCTGCCTCCACCTTTTTACTGAAACTTTCTTTGCCAGCTTCTTCTGGCGCTCTCGCAATATCCTAGTTGTGGTCAATCTTGGACAGCTCAGCAATAGGCTAGATTCCTGCCACCCCTAGACATGTTAGGTCATAAGGTGAACCAAAAGTCAAAGCATGTCTCCAATTGCAGGCCGGGCCTCTCGCAGCCTGACGCTGAGATGTACAGGCCGTGCTCAGGCTTGGTTCCCTGCATGCTCTCCAACTCACGCGCAACTCCTTAGCACTTCAGCGATGCTAAGAAGCAACGCAATGGACCCGTAGCAAGGCAGAGCAGGAAAGGATGAAAGGTTTTAGGGCTCCTCAGTTTGCGTGAAATACGCCGGCGCCCTTTCACCCGTATGACCAAGGCTCCATCCAAATGGTTGGCACCGAGGACAGCCACGATTTTTTTGTGACCGAGCCTGGCGGTTCTGTAAATGTTAGCTGCGAGGTTTGCGTCCCGGCGCTCCTGCATGTTCTCGATGTCATGCTCCACCACCGAGGCTTTCATGTCTGCGAACACCAATAACCTGCATGCAGGTTTTGAGTACTTCATGAAGGCACGAAATGCCCTTCGAGTTTCATCCGCATAGGTCGCATATTGTCTGCGAAGCCACTCTGGCTCATCTGGGTTCATCCAGCTCTTGGCCCTGGACTGTCGGTGGCCATTGCCCTGAATGAGCACGCCTGCTCGTTCGCTGCAGAGCTCCAAAACTAAGGCACTGGGCTGGACACTGAAAACGATGGTTTCAGCAAAAAGGGCTGAGGCCTTGCTGGCATGATTCCCCCCCACCAACGTGACGTTCGTCCCATCGGCGAGTACAACCGTGCGAAGGATACCCGTCTCTTGAAGATCCTTGCAAACCGCTAGCTCATAGAGCATGTCTTCCATGGTGTGTTGGAGAACGTTCTCATTCTTTTCTTCACCACTGTTGTTTTGACCTGAGCAAGTCTGAAAATCTAGTCTCCAGCGGTTGCGCCGAAGAGGCCGCGCACACACAGGAGTTCTCTGTCATGCTGAGCACTCATCCTCTCCGGTGCATCCTGAGAGCAACACGAAGGCGGAGGTGCTTCAGCATTGGTCAGGCACGTCGTTGCAAACTCACGTTCAGGGGTTGCGGACTTATAAAAAAGGCTGCACGAAAACAGCACATGAACCGCATGCTAGACCGTAATACCTGGAGAGAGGACTTAGCATATATACTTATAACACACATAAAAACACCAGTTACCCCCATCCAAGTAAAACACCATCATCACCTGGCTGAAGGCTTCAGCTGCCCTGCCTGCAGCGGAGCCAAAGCCGCCAAAACCCTGCGCTTGACACGCGATGCGGGCGCTGCGCGAGCTCGGCCCGACCCAGAGCCGGAGGTTGAAGGCACAAAATGTGCCAAAGGCACAAGCCACTAGGAGAGGGCGGCCCATGGGTTGCGTGGAAGAAAGGGGTAGCTTTGTGTGCCGCTGCTACACGGCCAGAGACTGCGCCTTTGATCCTTCTTCCCCCAACCCAGAAGTCCACTCCAAGCAAGCCACCTTGAAAGTACCACTGCGCAAACAAATGGACGCCACCGTGTTGTCTTACAGGAATCTAGGAATCTCGGCCCTAGGCTCCCGCCATGCAGCTCCCGCTTCATGCCGTTATAAAAACATGTGAAGGCCAGCACCCAAAACAGAATGACTTGCCTAGACCCTCCTCCTAACCTCTATTAGGGCCTAAGTACCTACTATTAGGGACCATATACCCCCAATTTAGGGTACAAGGAGGGTCCTGGTGGATACCTTGCATTGCTTCAGCCGCTTCAGCCATGCAAGCTCCCGGAGCTGTGCTCATTACTAGCCTCCGGAAACAATGATTTCCTACAACAAGCGACGTTCACAAAAACAATCCCGCAAGGGACTCCTACAAAGCAACAATACTTTGAACTGACCATTGCCCACATGAGAATTCTACGGGTCCTTGCAAGTACTTATAAGGGATTTGGTGGGCATTTTTGAGAAACACCCACCAGCCCAGAAGCGAACAGCTGAGGCAGGACAGCACAACACATTCATTTTGCTAGCCGTCGCATCCACGTCCGTCGCTCCAAGGGGCCTAGTCCAAAGGGTCCATGTAGATATATAGTATATACTTAGGGCCCAAAGGGTTTCCCACATACTTACTTTAAGGCCTAAGCAGTTACCATATAGCTACATGGACCCTTTGGGTAGTCTACACTCCAAGCGGAAAGAAACAACCGGAGCTGAAGGAACATGCCTGGATCCTTAGCCCTACCCAAGGGCTCCAATGTAGTTCCTTTTTGGGTTTGCTATGGTTTTTGGGTAAGGGATTATAATATACAACCCAAAAAGGAACTACATAGGAGGGTCTGGGTACGCATCATCTCAGCTGACCTAGGGTTTCGGGCTTAGAGTTTAGGGTAGAGTCTCCAGAATTTCCTGTACTGTCAACGATTAGCTCTCAGACATTCTCAGACCTTCCGCTCTTGCAGCAGGAACCATGTTCAGCAATGATTTCTTTAAGAACCCAACCTAGACCTTGCAAGCATCCAAAATGACAGCCTGTATACACATCATTTGGGGTGAAACGCCCTTTGTACCGGATTGCTGTTAAGGAATTTAATTTGAGTTGCTATATTCATAGTAACTATTGTATGTACCCATTCTGGTAACTTGTATTAAGTTCCTTAACAGCAACCCAGTCATTTGGCCCTAAACCCTTTACCCTAAACCGGGTGAAAGGCCCTTTCAATGGTATTTGTAAGGCCTAGGTCCAGACTGCAGCTTTGATCTTCCCAACAAGAACCCCCTGCATCTGGTCTGCGCATCATCCCTGGTAGCTGCTTTCAATCTCTCAAAATCCTATTGTTACCATTATTACTAAGACTATTCTTACTACTATTACTGAGAATGCTACCCCTATTACTCTTATTTCTCCAAACCCTTAACCGCTTCTCTCAAAGCCCGGGGGGCCCCGGTCAGGATTGCTAGGTGTGACTCTACTCCTGGAGATTGTATGTAACTTTTTCCAAGCACATTTGCATTGTGAGGTTGATATAACAAGGCACACTTAGGGCCTACAGCCTTCCCGTTATTATATTGTGGGACTATCTCGGAGTTATTTAATCAATTTAGTCTTCAACTAATGGTAGGGGATGGGATTAGCCATCTTGGACCACGAACCCAACGCTTCATAACCCCTCTAGAACCAATAAACCCTAATTAGGGCTCCAAGTATACAAAAAACACCTAAAGTCCATAAATATCACCCACATTGGGCTATTTGGGACCCTAAACCCTAAACCCTACATTGGGCTCTTTGGATCCTTAGGGAAGGCTTCAGGTCAGCTCGACATCGCCATTCTGGGCCGACTGAGAGCTCGCATCCGACGGAGCCCAAAGGGCCCTTTTGACCTGTTGAAAGGATTATAGGGTTTGAAGGGTTTAGGGTTTAAGGTTTAGGGTTATGGGTTATAGAGTTTAGGGTTTAGGGTTATGGGTTACAGGGTTGAAAGGGTTTAGGGTTACAGGGTTATGGGTTTATGGTTATAGGGTTTAGGGTTCTAGGGTTATGGATTATAGGGTTTAAAGGGTTTAGGGTTATAGGGTTTATAGGGTTTAGGATTACAGGGTTCTAGGGTTTTAGGGTTTAGGGTTATAGGGTTCTAGGGTTTAGGGTTATGGGGTTTAGGGTTATAGGGTTCTAGGGTTTAGGGTTATGGGGTTTAGGGTTGCAGGGTTATAGGGTTGTAGGGCTATAGGTTTAGGGTTACAGGGTTATAGGGTTGTAGGGCTATAGGTTTAGGGTTATAGGGTTTAGGGTTACAGGGTTAGGGTTATAGGGTTCTAGGGTTTAAGGTTATGGGTTTAGGGTTATAGGATTCTAGGGTTTAGGGTTATATAGAGTTTAGGGTTATAGGGTTTAAGGGTGCGGGCAGGATATTATTATTATAGGGTTTTGGGCGTAGGATATAAGTCACTTATCATTCCCTTTCCAAGCCAGATGAGCTTAGGGTTCAGTACTGAAGGTCTTGAACACGCGTGTCGCGTTAATCGACGGAGGGTTTGGGGCTGAGGGATTTCTTAGAGAAAGGGGAGCACTCATGGACTGCAGGGACATCCCAGAGTGGCAAGGGGATTCTGGGCGTCCATACAAAGATTCCTATTTTGAAGCTTCGAAGAGCTAAAGGCCTAGCTTTGTATCCCAAATGATGTGGTGCGCTAAAAACCCTCCAAACGAGGTTTCATTTAGAGTTTGGATGGCGCTGAGGTGTGATGAGCTGTGTGGTCTCGCGTTTGCCCTTGGCAGGAGTCTCATTGGAGTCGTGGTGGTGCCCACTTTTAAGGTTTGCGGTTGCCTCAGGATTTTGTTTGATCACTACTGCCTGTACCCCCACCCTTTTGGCATAACCCAAACCCTTTCAGCACAATCCCTCCCAAGATCCTCCGTAATCCCCATATGTACATCTTGTGGAAACGATCTCAACCTTCGGCTTAGGGGTTTTGATTTAGGGTTTAGGGCTCAGGGTTTGTTATGGCATGTGGCTCTGAATTTCCGAAAGTGCATGGTGCTGCTGGTGCTCATTGTTACCCCACGCCCTGCGCGGATAGGTACCCCCTACAGGTTTGTATGGTGCTTCCCTGTGGAAGTGGCAGCGGCTCAGGTCCATACGTGATAGAGCCCAGTGGATAGGAGGTCAGGTGATCGGAAATTGAGTAGCCAAGATTAGTGGAATCATAAAGGGCTGTATGGGAAGTGTATTTCATGAGTATCATAGGGATGAACAGGGTGCTACAAGCATTTGGCGGCTAGGAAAGAGTTTTAAGATCAAACGACAACATTCCAGGCCTTCCAAAGGCTAAAAAAGCGCATTGAGGTTTCGTCTAAGAGGATGCAGCGCGTTCTAGGGTTTAGACTCGCCCAAACATGGAAACCCATAGAATCCCCTTTTTGAGGGACTGTAGTCTTTATAGTGCCTTTTTGGGGTTTCCATGCTAGTTTCCGGGAGTGTACGGGGCGGCACTCTGCGGTAATCAGGGTCTGCTGGCGTACCAGAAATGCTGCATCTCCTCGTCTGCTCGCTTGAAGCCAAGGGTCCCAAATACCACAACAATACTTGGTAGTTTCCCTTAATATAAGAACCCCCATATAAACCCCAACATACTAAAGTCCTTATTTTGGGGACCCCCAATACTGCGGACTGTGGTGTCCAGCACCCTGCTCGGAGACAAAGAACCCTTTTTCAGCTCCCTTATGCATTAATATGGCGACAACTTAAGTGCCAACCTCTAGAGATCTTTAGAGGCTGTGTAAAACCCTGTCACACTTTGTGTTAGCCAGGGCATCATAGGATGTCTCAGCCCCAGGGGCCCAGTCCATCTGCAAGTGACGACGCGCGGGGGAGATGATAAGGACGGCCAGAAGTACCTTGATACAGTCGAAGGTCCCAAGTAGCCCTACAAACCCAATTCAGTACTCCTTGTTAGGACCAGGAAACAGGTAGGTGCTCGTATTAGGGGCTCATACTACCATGGTTAGGACCGTAGATGCAGAGCTTGCATGGGGGCGAGGTGTAACGAGCCCCTAACCACTCTAAACTCGTGCTGGGAGTCTTGGGGTCACAGCGTGCATGGGAACTGCTACTGTGCTCATATACAGGGTAATTCAGAATACTTTCAGTCCCTCATGTACGGCCATTTTGGTATTATTCCTCATATAAACCACCATTTAGGGTGAGGTCGGGTGAGATCGCTTTCAATTGCCCAGTTATATACCTGAAAGGGGTTCCTTAGTTCTAGCTGGCCGTCTGCAGTGGGTCTATAATGCTGTAAATTTGGCTGCGGGCTTGGCAAAGTAAGTGTAAAAAAGTTAAAGGTGTGTTCATGACCCTTAGT